CTTGAGGCTCCGTCTCAAAAAAAAAAAAAAAAAAAGAAATGCGAATCCCTCAGCGCATGCTGAAATAAAAGAATGAAGGCTTAGATGAATGATGAATGATGAAAGAATGAAAGAATGATGAAATGCAAATCAAAATAAGACACCATTACACAACCAGTAATTTCATGCCTCCATCTGTGACCAACAGGAATGAAAACACAAGTATTTTTAAAACATTGAGCATGAATAATCATCCATGATTATCCATTAATAGCAAAAAAGTAGTAACAACCCAAATGCTGACTGAATCGATAGGCAAAATGTGGCGGTCTATTCAGCCTCAAAAAGGAGAGAAATACTGATATTTGCTATAACACGGATGAACCATGAAAACGCCAAGTTTGGTGACAAAAAGCCACATGTGTATGATTCAGGAATTTCCCAGAATAGGAAGATCAATAAAGTTGACAGTAGACTCGTGGAGGCCGGGGTCAGAGGGAGGGAGACTGGGTATGGGCCTGCTTTTTAGAATGCTGCAAAGGTTCTGCAGTAAGATGGTGGTGATGGTCACGCAACTTCGTAAACACACCAAGAATCACTGAACTGTACACTATGCAACAGTGAACTTTATATACATTATATCCCAATAAAGGTATATTTAAAAATATAAATTATGGTCAGCAAATAATGGTAAGGTTGCAATAAGATTGTAGAGCAAGTTGCTGGTGGCAATTTAACTTGGCATAGTGATATCTGACAGTGCTGTGTCAACAGCAATATGTAAACAGTGGAGAGGTTCCCATAAGGGGTGTGAATTATTTTGCATCCATGGCTAAAACGGTCACCGAGAACTTTTATTTATTTATTTATTTGAGACACAGCCTCAAGCTATTGCCCTGGGTAAAGTTGTGCTATGGCGTCACAGCTCACAGCAACCTCCAATTCCTGGGCTTAAGCAATTCTCTTGCCTCAGCCTCCCAAGTACCTGGGACTATAGGCGCCCCCCACAATGTCCGGCTCTTTCTTTGTTGTAGTCGTCATTGTTGTTTGGCAGGCCCAGGCTGCATTCAAACCTGCCAGCTCTGGTGTATGTGGCTGGTGCCTTAGCCGATGGAACTATAGGCGTTGAGCACCCCCCTCCCCCAAGCCTTTTTTTTTCTTTTTTTTAAAGACAGGCTGGACACTCAGGCTGGAGTGTAGTGGCAAACTCCTGGGGTCAAGGGATCCTGCCACCTCTGCCTCCAGAGTACAAGGGATTTCAGGCCCCCCACCGCACCTGGCCACCATAGATATTGAGCTGACTGTGCTCATGCCCACAGCAATGCCTGCTGCCCTCTGAGCCCATTCCTGAGAAAGAAGCTTGGCTCCAAGTCTGGGCACAGCATGTCACCTCAGGCAGATTTTCCCAGGTCTCAGAGGCAGCCTGGTTGGTTCTCCCTTGTTGTGGCACATATAATTCCAGGTAGACAGTGTGGGGGACAAGGCTGCCCACCAGAGTCTAGGCACTGGCCTGGCCACTTCCACAGGCTTTGTCCTGAGTGTCAAGATTGTATGAGCCTCGGCTCGGTGCCTATATCTCAACCGGCTAAGGCGCCAGCCACGTACACCTAAGGTGGCGGGTTCGAATCCCCATTCCGGACCCGCCAAACAACAATGATGGCTGCAACCAAAAAATAGCCGGGCGTTGTGGCGGGCGCCTGTGGTCCCAGCTACTTGGGAGGCAGAGGCAGGAGACTCGCTTGAGCCCAGGAGTTGGAGGTTGCTATGAGCTGTAATGCCACGGCACTCTACCCAGGGGGACAGCTTGAGGCTCTGTCTCAAAAAAAAAAAAAAAAAAAAAAGATTGTATGAGCCTCTTATATAGCAGGCAAATGGCCCTCCATAAGTCAGGACAAAACCCATAGATACGGAGATGTTCACTGCGCTAATGCGTCAGTGGCAAAAATTAGAAGCTGCTCAAATACCCAAATGAAGGAACATTAAGATGGGACCCTCTCTTCGTGGAAGAGTTTGCAGCCATTCAAAATGATCAATGGGTAGGAGAGTGAGAGTGAAATTACAAGATGCTCAGGATGAAAGCACGATGTTGCCCCTTATGGGCATTCTGTGCACCAAGAAGGAACTGGAGGGTATTTGGTCTGTGAGGTCACCAGTGGCTTGGTGTGTGAGACATGAGAGTCTTAGGTAGTCAGTCTCTCAGGCACAGTGTCACACTAAGAAGTCTCTCCGAGCCTGATGTATAAACCAGACACCAAGGCAGGAATATGATATGATGTGGATTAGCCAAGTCCACAAGGCCACTTTGTGCAAAAGCTTCATCCCCAAACAGAACTTCTTGCTTTGTGAAAATGTAGCTGGGTGACCTTGAGCAAGTCTCCTAAACCTTTCAGGCCGTCTGCTTCCTCACCTATTATAGGCGAAAAAGCCTATAGACTTGTGCCTTTTGGCCTCTGAGAGAGAGCGGGAATAAAAGTCATGTTTTTCTACAATCTAGGAGACTCTGAGGTAGAACCCCCACTATGGCCTCTGCCCTAGTTGAAGGAACGTGGCATTCCACTGCGCTGAGCAGGGCCAGAGGGGCTGGAACGCCTATGCCCATCATCGGTATACTTTTGGAACCTCCGGATTGTGGATTGACAAGATTAAGTTACTGCCGCCAGATGGCTTAGGGCTTCAAAGAGTAGACAAACAATGAATTCTGTCCCCGACGCCCAGTGGCCGTTTCTGTATCTATCAAGAGTCAGCCCAGAGAGCTGATAGTGTATGCTTCCTTGATTACTATTTTTGAGTGTAATGAATAACTTAGAAGAATATGTACTACCTGTCTAGCAGACGTGTGTATCACTTACTCAGTAGTCTAATAGGAACCTAGTAAAAGTTAATTTGTTTTTTTACAATATGTCACTGAGGTAATGGAATGATTATTGCGTATGTACATAACTGGCTATTCAAACTAGTGAGAAATGAAGAATTTTGCTACTCGCCATCTTAAGGTGGTAGTTGTCTTTGTCCTATACTATTCCAATACCAAGCCTATACTCTGCGACACCGATCATCTGTGGCACCTGACACCAACACCTCCGAAATGGGAATCAGAGTGCTCAGCTCACACTTAGGTGAAAAAAGGTAGGTTGGGAAGACAGGTTGGGGCAGAGGCTTCAAGGGCACAGGTGCTGGAGGACACTCACCGTGGGGATGACCCAGCCAAACTCGTCATTGTTGAAACCCAGGAGGACAGGCACAGAGTGGACTTGCTTCTCATTGAGGAGCTCTTTGGGGCTTTTGGGAAAGAAGACGCCATCGACAGTGAAAGCAGTCAGAGTAGTTTTCTACAGGAGAAAGGAAGGTGGGAGACCCTCAAGTCAGGACCCAGCCTCTAAGAAAGGAACCCAG